GCAGAAATGCCTCAGCTCCGTCGTCTGATGTCGGCATGTTTGGAAGCACCGGCTACTGCCGCTCCCACTGTCACTGCCGCCGCCGCCGCCGCCGCCGCCACCGCCGCCACCACCACCACCACCACCATGACAACGACCACGACCACAACCACCACCACCACCACCACCACCACCACCACCACCACGACGACGACGACGACGACGACTACTACTACTAGTAGGAAGTTCACACGTATTTGACGGCGCGTTTTGCTTTATACCATGCGCTTTGCATGGTGGTTTCGTGCTCATTTCAGGATTTGTTGCGGGGGGCACCTGGCTTAGTATTGGGGTGTTCGTCTTCCTTGAAAATGCGGGCTGTATGGTGGTTTCGTGTTCATTTCACACGTTCTGAAGGGGGCGGTTGTGCTGTTTGTTCGAGATCTACCGTTGTTAAATCTTGGCATACGTGGCTTAGTATTGGGATGTTTGTGTTCCTCGAAAATGTGCGTTTTATTGTGGTTCAGTGGTCATTTCGTTTTTTTTTAGAGAGGGCGGCTGTGCTTCTTTTAAAGATCTAGCGGTCTTTGGTTTTGGCATACGTGGGTGTCAGGATTTTATCGTCGTCCCGTTAGCCCAAGGTACGCCCCCATTAGTCCAGGGCACGCCCCATTAGTCCATGGGTTTGAGGAGTTCTGATTTCATTTTATCATCGCCCCATGAGTCCAAGGTACGCCTCATTAGTCCAGGGTACGAATTTGCTGTAAGCCGAGTTGGCGGCAAAAAACATGCTTTGCCGCCCTGGCAACGTTCGTGCCTGTAATGTGGAAAATGCTGCGCCTGCCAGTGAAAACCCCACCGTCAACCACGAGATAAGCTCCTCCTCCTCCTCCTCCTACTCCTACTACTACTACTACTACTACTACAAGTAGTACGAAGTACGTGCACTTGTAGCAGAAATTGTAGTCGCAGTGCTGATTGATGCGTGCCCAACCGCGCGGGCCTGCCGCAGGAGTTGGGGCAACCAGTCATTCGGATGACGATGTCTTCCTGAGGGAATGCGTGCAACGTGCTTGTTTTCAGCAATGGGGGGCTTTGGTTGCGGCCTGTTGACAGGCAGAGTCTGCACATGTTGGGCACCGGGCTGTGAAGGTAGTTTAACATCATGGCAACGGTCGTCCATAGCCGTACAGGCTTGCAATGACTGCCACAATCGCAACCTAAACCCTGCGATTACAGTGATCTGCACTAGATCCCTGTCACCTGCCCCACCCTTTCCACACCTAGCGTGATGGCCTGAAAAATTAGAATAGAGTTTCAAGGTATGTTCTATCATTGTATACTAATTTCGTATATCTGGCTTGAGGGAGGAAAGTTCCTGCATAGGCAGACTTCTACCTTTTCCTGCGGAGTGCTCTTCCAAATCTTTTCCGAATGGTTTACAAGGTTAGGATCTTGAAGCTTAAACCGAAACCGTGACGTCCGGCCCTAAACCCTAAACCCAAGCTTGGCTAGGATTCCAGGGCCATTCAACAAGTTTAGCGTCAGTTCTTAGGAGCAGCCCCCATTGAAGAAAGAGCCCGTAACAGACCCTTCATAGGGCCTTAATGTGGCCACAACAACCAGCTGAAATGCATGCTTCATGTACTCCAATTTTGGGAGGTAGCAAGCGGTTCTTTCCTAGGCGGCGAGAGACTGAACCTCAGCTCAACTGCAAGAGAGCGCCATGCACTGAATCCTGAATCCTCAGCCGTACGCACTAAACTCTAAAATCCTAGTGAGCCTTATCACATGTGAGTAGCGTTTTTTTGGTGGCTGAACCTAGTAAGATTATATTATTTATATAGAAAACTATACCCCAAAAGGAGGATATAATCTTACTCTATCATGGGTACCATAGTATCCCCAAATAAAATACTACTCATGTCCCAAACCTCACTCACCCCCTGAGACCTGCCCTGCCTGGCTCAGGCCAACCTTGTCGGCCACTGCCTCCAAGCGCTCCACCAGGGTAGGCAGATAGCGCTCGGCCTGATTCACGGTTCAGGGGCCAGGGCGTGTGCTGGGCGACAGACTTAGGGTTTTCAGTTTAGGGGGAACCAGTACTACTCCGAGATAACATGTCGTCATGCAATGCTTATAATATGTTGCAGGACGACGCAGAAGTGTTTGTGTACACATCTACATATAGATGCTTGCTCCACCAAAATGGGCCTCACATACCGCTAGAAACCATGACCCGCACCAAATGGAGCGAGCCCTGAACTCTGGAACCTATCCACGTGCACGGAGAGCAAAAATCCAACGCGACCCATCACCTTGTCGGTGTGATGGAAACTCCCACCGCCCCTACTGATGAATGGTGACCCCTACTGTACGATGGTACGGAACATAAATCACGTAGGGGTCGGGGGGATGTATAGGTAAACCCTCGATCGTTCTAGCGTTCAACTCAGATCTTCGATTTGATCCTGCATTGACAGCGGACTTGTTTCTTCGATCCTCGAACCCTTGTTAAGTAAATCCTTACTACTGGCAAGGGAAAACTCCTAGTATCCCTCTTAATAACCTCCATAGTAGTCCCCTA